CCTTGGGAGGACTCTGGTGAGAGGGACCAACAGTAGTGGTCTCCAGTTCCACAGAGCCTATGTGTGTCAGCCAACTCTCTGCTCTGGCATGCATGGAGGTCTCTAGTAACCTGTGAGAGACAGGAAACCAGATGTCTAGGGCAAATGAGGTGACTGCCTGGGGTTGTCACACAGCTGAGCTACAGAGGCAGCTGGCCTCCCAGTACTTCAACTCACTGACACAGTAGGGAGCTTTGAGAGGGGGGCTGGGGGTGAGTGGGATGGGAGGGGGGGTGTCTTGTTTAGCGCTGTCTGTCCTCAACTCTTCCCTGAGAATGACCTTGAACTCTCAACCCTCCTGCCCCCACCTCCTTACTGCCGGGATTAGACTGCACCTGGCTACCCCCGCTGCCTTCTGCATTGCACCATCTCAGTGTGCCAGCCTCCCTGACGTACACCCCTCTGTAGCGCCTACCGCCCGGAAGATGCCAGCTGAGTCACTTAGGTTGGCTTGGGCAGAGCTGTAAGATTTGGATGCAGCTGTGAGTAGGTTAGCGAAGTGGTTAGCGTGACAGACTATCCCTCCCTCTGCCTCCCCCATTCGCTCCTATCCCAGAACACTCCCCTCGGACCACCCACCAATCCTGCCACGGTACCATGGAAACACCCCTATGGGTCTACCACGGAGATCAACACCCCCTGGACAACTGCTGGGGATCCTGATAGCCCAGGAGCGAGCCTGGTAGCCAGGAGACTTCATGTACAGCAAGAATAGAGGAACATACAGGAACTGTGTCCCCCTGACCTCACTGGAGTGAAGGCTGGAAGCCCTAGATCAGAGGATCCTGGGCTGGGCCAGCCAGCTCCATGGGTAGAGTGAGGGAGTCTGGAGTAACTAAGGGCCCTGTCTGGACTCTAAGGCGGTCCATACAAGGGTCTAACCGTCAGCTGAGGGAACTGAATGAGGAGGCCTAAGATACGCACTTAGTCAGCAAAGTCGCTGGCTTTGGTGACGCCTGCCTGTCGCCCCAGGATTTGGGGCCGTCAAATCCAAGGAAGTGGAAAGTAGCTCTGGGGTGCAGGGGCTATCACCTTCAGGCCCCCGTGGATAGGCCCTGCTCCCCGCCTTCCCTGTCGTAGCTCCTGCTGCCTCCTCCTGGACCACCCCCTTCCCCGCCACCCCATCCCCCCTCCGTGTGGCTCAGAACTCTTGACTGGGAACTTCATTTGCGGACCGGAGCTCCTGCAAGCTATTAAAAACGGGCCGTGTTCATCTGTGCCTTGGGCACCGGAAGCTACGAGCAGAAACTTGCACGGTTGGGTGGGCTCGGCTGCGCGGGTGCACACGCTTCACGCTTCGCCGTAGCTGCTGTGCCCTGGACCCTCCCGCCGCTCTCTGGCTGTGGGTGCCCACGAGTAACCTTTCCGGCACCAGGCTTTGTGGTGTTCCACAATCTGCGGGGGCAGGGGCACCTTGGAGTAAACAGGTTTCAGAGGGAAACCAAACCTGTTTCATTTGTGTAGAGCGGGGCAGAGACAGGGTCTCAGGTAGCCCAGGCTGGCCCCCAGCTTCTGGGTTTACAGGTGTGCTGCCCCGCCCAGCCAAACGTGGGAGACTCTGAGCTGTGTCTTGTTCCATTTTCTCAGTGCTTAAACAGACCTGGGCTGCTGGTGATTATTAATGGTTTTGTTCTGAGATTCCTTCTAGAATTTACTGCCATTCTGGTTTTGTTTTCATTTTAAAATACTTGTTCATTTTGGAGTCAGGATCTCAGGGAGCCCGGGCTGAATTTCATAGGTACCCAAGGGTGACCTTGAACTTCCGACCCACCTCCCAGGGTGTCCCAGCACTAGCTGGGCTTGGGGCTGAACCCAGGGCCATGTGCATAGGGGACAGGCTCTTCTCTTCTAAGGGAGTCCTGTGAGCCAGCAGGATGGGTTCTTTTGGTTTTTCACCAGCCTACATGAGGAGTCTGTGGTTTTCCCATTCACAATACAGACTGGGAGGGGGCAGAGGGGGGGCAGGAACTGGTCTACAGTCACGTGAGTTGTTACAGCGGGGAGTGGCTTCCAGCCCGATGTGTCCTGTCCTGTTGTCCTGGCTCCCCACCCCACCCCACACCTCCCATCCTCACTTCCTCCCCCTCTCCAGCTGGAGAGGGTTCTGCAGGTAGGTTCTCACCCCAACCTGGGCTGGCAGCGCCTGGGGCAGCAGCTCACCTGGAGGTCCTGCCTACCTGCCAGGCCCCTGACTCCCAAGTGCTCTCACCTGAGGCCTGCTCCAAGTTAGTCCCAGATCATCCCCAAGGAATGGACCTGGAGCTGTATTAAATACCTTCCCCACAGCACGCACGTGGTGATTCGGTGAGACTGCCTGCCCTGCAGCCGCCCGCCAACAAGCACAGGCAGACACCTGAATCCCCACAGACAGAAAGGAGACACCTAGTCTGACGGACCGAGCACTCTCTGTCCCTAACTGCCGCACGATGCAAACCCGACCCTGGGCTTCTGCAAACCCGACCCTGGGCTTCGACCAGCCCAGTTGGTCCAAGTGGGTGAACTGGAGGTTGCTCCCTGCCTGGTGTGCTGAGCTTAGTAGGTGGCGTTCAGCCCTAGTGAATTCTGATCTCAGCCACCGTGCACGGGAGCCTGCCCTGCGATGCCCAAGGGCCTCCTGGCTCCCAGCAAACGTGGAGCTGTTTCTAGTCTCCAGGTTGGACCCAGGGATGTCTGCAGGCCTCCACTCACTGCCAGGGACTCCCTCCTTTCACAGAAGCGCCTTGTTTAGAATGTATGCCATCAACACCTTGTCTGTCAAGCCAGGCCTCCCTCAGAAGCCAGCCCTGGACCCCTCAGGGCTGGGAAGAGGCCTCACGCCTGCATCAACACACACACACACACACACCTCTCCCTCTCTCTCCCTGCCCCGCCCCCACCCCTCCGTTTCTGCGGTTCACAGGAATCCTGAAGTAGATGGAGCCGTGAGGCTAGCCCACAGACACGGAAGAGAGGAAGGAGCCAACCACAGAGGGTCTGCACACTGAACCCAACCTTCGCCCCCCGGGGGGAGTCTATACATCCCCAAAACCCAGAGGCCTGCCCAGGCCTCGCCCCTCCCCGCCCGGCCCCCCCCCCCCCCCCGACTTGAAGGAAGTGTTTAGTGGAGCCATCTGGGCACAGGTGAGTCACAAGGCGGGCCTCCTGTCTGACTCAGTGTAGCTGGCCCTCCACCAGCCTCCAGCTCTAAACACTGAGTCAAGGCCTCCACCGGCCCTGGCCAGGAAGCCTTGGAGAGAGCTCCTGCTCCTCCCCCCCCCCCCCAGTGTCCCTAGTTGCTTCCAAGCAACCCCTACATCCCCCACAATGACAGTGGGGGACAGATGGGGAGCCCACCTTCAGTGAGCTAGGCTGGTCTACAGTGAGTTCTGCAGTGTTCCACCACCCCAAGGCTGTGGCCCCTTGCCAGGTATCAGCAAACAGTGGCTACAATCACTGATCACAACGTGGCCAAGCCAGGCATGGTGGCACTCACCCGTAATCCCAGAATTTAGAAGCAGAGCCAGGCAGAGAGTGAGATGAGA